CCAGGTGGAGGGGAGTTATTGGGGGGAAAAAGAGGAACAACTGTAATAATCTGAACAATAAAGATTTAATTTAATAATAATAAAAAATTGATGAAAAAATAAAACTCTGGCTCCAATAAATTGAAAAAGATAAACTGAAAAGATAAAATAGAAATACTATCATTAAATACTAATTTTAATATGTAACATTATAGCACAGTATATTTTCTATTTATTAGTTTTATTTAAAATTTAGTTGTAAAAACTACCCAACATTTTATTAAATAAATGTACATCAGTCTTCTTAATTGTTATGAAACTGTTGAGCATTTAGGTTGTTTATACTACTACTAGAGGCCCGGTGCACAAAAATTTGTGCACTCGAGGGCGGGGGTCCCTCAGCCCAACCTGTGCCCTCTCGCACTCTGGGACCCCTCAGGGGATGACCACCTGCTGGCTTAGGCCTGCTCCCCGGGGATTTGGGCCTAAGATGGCAATCAGACATCCCTCTGCCAGCCCAGCAGCCCTCAGGGGATGTCCACTTGCCAGCGGGGAGCAGACCTAAGCTGCATTCAGACATCCTTAGAACTGCTGAGGAGGCAGGAGAGGCTCCCACCACCACCGCTGTACTGGCAGCCATCAGCCTGGCTTATGGCTGAGCAGAGTTCCTCCATGTGGGAGCGAGTGACCACCAGAGGGCATCTCCTGCATTGAGCGTCTGCCCCCTGGTGGTCAGTGTGTGTCATAGTGACCAGTCATTCCCAGTCTCTCTGCTGTTAGGGTCAGTTTGCATATTACCCTTTTATTATATGCTGGCCAGGACTGAAGCTACAAGCCTCTCCTTTTTTTCCTTTTTCTTTTTTTCTGGGATTTATTTACCTTCTATAATTGAAACATTGTTGCCATCATTGGCACTCCCAGCTCTGAGGCCGCGGCCAGCTGAAAGCAGGTATCTGGGGTTTGTTTAGCTTCTATAATTGAAACATTGTTGCTTTCGGGCTGGCGGGGAACCTTGTCTTCCTCCATCACTGGAGCAAGCAAGCCTCCTGCTCACTTCAGCTGCATGGCTGCTGGCCGCCATCTTTGTTGGCAGTTAATTTGCATATTGCCCTGATTAGCCAATGGGAAGCGTAGCAGAGGTATGGTTAATTATCCTTTTTATCTTTTATTAGATAGGATTTTACTATTTATGATAAATACATTTCTGGCAATATCTTTATGCTTAACTTTATCCATATTTAGGGTTTATTTTCTGTGAACATCTTTACAGTAAATATGATTTCTGAGTCAAAGAGGATGCCCATTTTAAAGACTCCTGATACATAGTGTTCAACTGCTTTCTAGAAGCATTGTGCCAATATATGATGCCATCAACAGAACAAAATTAGACTGCCCATTTCATGGAACCCTCAACATCACTATGTTATCATTTAAATTGTTTCCACTTATGGTTATGGTTTATTGCATTATCAATATTGCATTACTGTATACCAGTGGTTCTCAACCTTCTGGCCCTTTAAATACAGTTCCTTATGTTGTGACCCAACCATAAAATTATTTTTGTTGCTACTTCATAACTGTAATGTTGCTACTGTTATGAATTGTAATGTAAATATCTGATATGCAGGATGGTTTTAGACAACCCCTGTGAAAGGGTCGTTCGACCGCCAAAGGGGTCACAAGTTGAGAACCGCTGCTGTATACCTTTGTATATAAGTTAATGGTAGAAATTCTGCTTTTTCCTCCTTGTTATATCTTTTGCAATGTACTGAAGCTAAATATTTCCTCAGCAACTTATATTTAACATAACAAAAATGTTAACCATAGTTTTTTTATATTTGCTACAGATATTTTTCCTTATTTAAGTATGCATTTTTATTTTTACCACCATTTTTTACTTTAGTGCATTGTTATTTTTATCACCAGTTTTTACTTAGCATTTTTTATGTAGTCAAATTTATAATCTTCTCTTTGAAATTTTGTCTATCTCTTTTAAACTAAAAATTAAAAAATTCCCATTCCAGATTTTTAAAAAAATATTTTTATTGATTTTTATAACTATTTAAAAGCAGATCCTTACTAGTCTTTTTCGAAAGAGGAAAGGAGAGGGAGAGAGAAACATCTATTTGAGAACTGAACATAGATAGGCTGCCTCCTGCATGCCCCATACTGGGGATTGAGCCCGAAACCCAGGCATGTGCCCTAACAGGAAATCGAACTGGCAATCTTTCTGTGCACGGGACAACACCCACAAGGGCCAGAGCTTCCATTCTGGATTTTTGAGATAAAGTCCTAATTCTATTTTTTTTTAATTAAAAAAATCTTTATCAGGAATTTATTTCCATTTACACTGTCTTTTCTTTTTGTCCTCAAGTTATTATCCAATTATTCCAGTATTTATTGAGTAATCTCTCCTGAATTCTGATATATTCTATCAAATTTATAATAGGGACCCTTATTAAATATTGGTATAATTATATTTCAACACCGTTAAAGCATTATTCCACAAACCCCAGAATTCAGTATAAGAAATCTATTTTAAAATTCCAGCTTGCTCAGATATCCAGGCTTAGGCAATTAAGATATAGGATTAAAAGTATTCCTGCTCAGCCATGCACTGAGAGGTCGTGGGTTCCATTCCGTCAGGGCACATGCCTGGATTTCAGGCTCCATTCCCAGGAGAGGGTGTACAGGAGTGGGCCAATAGATGTTTTGATTTTTCTCTCTCTCCCCCACCTCCCTTCCTTTGTCTGTCTCTCTCTAAAACAAACAAACAAATAAAAACAACAATGAAAGAACTTAAAAATAAAATTCCCACTCATATACTCTTGGGAGAGCATTATGAGCATTCAGGTAGAGGCACAATTCTGATGAACAGTCTAACAATTTTAAAAATCTAAACTTTCCATTTATAACAAACAACTTTTGTTAATAGATTTGTAACTACTTTAAAACAGATACTTACCAATCTTTTTTGATTTAACACTTGCTCTAAAAGTGTAGGTCTTGCAGGACGATCCCCCAAAGCTCCTGTTCTTTGTTTAACAATTGAGAGAATGCTATCTGCACTTTCCTGGAATAAATTAAAAAATGCAAATAGGATTAACATGTACCAAAGTAATTCATGATTACAGCCATTTCAATGATGAAGTAAACAGGTCTTTGATTCTCTTCCTTTTTGTCCAGTCCCTGGACAAGTAATAGGAAAAATGTTGACAATTAAGTTAATGTAACACTCCTCACTCCCTGTCCCTCTAGGATTTCAAACCTGGGATCTTCAGTATCTTTAAGGGTCTTAAAATTAATAGTGGGGCAGAAGTGGTGGGGAGGGGTACAAAGAATTACTTGTGAGCTATTGTCAATCTTATAAAAAATGCCAAGTACAAACTGAACATTCTCTTCATAGAAAGCTAACCTGGCCAAAACAAAGTCTGCCTGCCTTTGGATTGAATATATGAACTCAAAGGCAACTTACATATTAGACGTTCTAACTGGCACTTTTCTGTCCAAATAACAACAAAAAATAAGGGGGGAGGCAGCAAAATATTGCTTAAAGCAACAACTGACAGACAAAGCTTTCAAAATTTTAAAGTTTTAAGGAGAAAATGACAAACTGGTTTTGAAAAAGACTGGAAAACACTAGCATAAACAAAATAGGTGAGTCCTAAAATTACATTATGACATCATTACCCAAACAAAACCAGTAGCACTTCCTACCAAATATGTACCCATAGTTATCTGATAGAATCTTAAACACATAAATTTTCCTGGCATAACAAAATACGGTGTATTGTTTTAGTTGACTCAAACATTCTCAATACATGATATAGTATGGACCACATCCAAAAATTCTGACTAAACAAATATAAAACTATAAATGTCTTATTGTATAGTCATGCCTACTGTGAGTTTACCTATCTCTTTGCTCTTCATTTAGGTTATCAAAACTGTTGTTTTTTCCTCTTGGGCTTTACTCTACTGGCCTCTGAAAGGTCTATTAGAATATCCCTTACTTTTTTCATTATGAGAAGTTTACCAACGTGTTTTTAAAATGTTCAATCCCCCCTTTTCTGGTGGTGACAACCTCCCCATGACAATATGCCTCTCGCTAATGAACTCCTTTATCCCTTTCCAGAAGAGGAGAGGAGGAAACACACTAAGTCCCTGGTGCAGAGCCCCAATAATTACTTCATGGATGTGAAATGCCCAAGATACTTTAAAATCACCCCTGTCTTTAGCTATATACAAACAGTAGTTTTGTGTGTTGGTTGCTCCACTGGTCTCTGTCAGCCTACAAGAGGAAAAGCAAGGCTTACAGAAGGATAATCCTTCAGAAGGAAGCAGCAATAAAAGCACCTCGAATCAAGAAGAGTGGGGTACCATCCCAATGAACACATTCTGGATTTTTAAAAAAATGTGAAATCCCTAAACAATTTAGGCTTCAAAATGTAAAAACAAAAAAAAAATAACTATCAAAAGAGTATTCTAATACCCAGGAAAAGCAAAAGTAACTTCTCCCTTCCTCTTTCCTTAAAGGGTTAACTTTATCTATGGTACTAATTTTTTTTTCATTAAACTTATTGGGAAAACATTGGTTAATCATCCTATATAACAGGGGTGGGCAACATTTTTGTGAGTGTGTGCCAAAACCAGCAAAATCTCTGACTCAAAATTCTTCTGTGTGCCAACCCTAATTTTTTGAGAACATGTTATGCTACTTGAT